TCAAAATCTAATTAAACCGACTTATCATATAAATGTTTATCTGTCCATTATTAAATCTATATCTAGTTATAAGGGAAATCTCAGTTTTAAGCGCTAAGAACACATTTTTAGCGCATAAAGTTGGCAAAATAACTATCAAAAAATCCAAAAGTATCACTTTGGACGCGCCCATCGTGCGTTTAGCGTTTAACGCAAAGCATCGTAACTAAACGCACGATGGGCGCGAAGCGCCCATTCGGCCGCGGAGCGGACGAAATTTGGGCCGAAGGCCCTAACGGGCAAGGCTTAGGTTCCAACACCCATAGATTTAGCCACTCTACTGCCAAGGCCTTACGTAAATCGGATAAAGCATACGTAACTAGTGTAGAAGTGGTAGTCCCACACCCATAACTAGGGCCGAAGGCCCTAGTTATGGGTGGTTTTCCCACACCCATAATTTTCCCACACCCATAACTAGGGCCTTCGGCCCTAGTTATGGGTGTGGGACTACCACTTCTTCATTAATTTTTTACTTTGGCAGAGGATGGAAAAGCCTTGGCAGTAGATAGATACCCCTATGGGCGTTGGAACCTAAGCCTTGCCCGTTAGGGCCTTCGGCCCAAACTTCGTCCGCTCCGCGGCCGAATGGGCGCTTCGCGCCCATGGTGGGTTTAGTTACGATGCTTTGCGTTCCGGGGCTGGCCTCTAGGCCCCTTCGGGGCAGACAAATAAATCTTAGTTACATATGCTTTATATTAAATGGAAAAGCCTTGGCGGTAAAGTCCGCCAGCAAACCCACGTGGCCGCTTCGCCTCACTCAGGTGCATATTTAATGCTTTAAAAGATTTTATAACACTTGGGGCCAAACCCACGTGGCCGCTTCGCGGTTCCCAGGTACCCGAAATCTTTGACACTGCTGATTTTTTTTCTGAGACTCAAGTGTACTTTTGTTTAAAATCACATTAACACCCTCCCTAACATTATCCTACGGCATCCCCCACACTACAAAATTATTCCCACGTGGCCGCTTCGCATTACCCAGGTACCCGAAAACTTTGAACCGTTTAAATTTTTTCTGAGACTCTAGTGACCCTCATAAATATTTTAATCGTGCTCCCCGCACGATTCCACGTCGATTGAGGTATCACTCGACCCATTTAGACCATTTTGGAAATTTTGAGTCTGGGACTGAAAAATTTGAAATCTGAGACTCAAGTGTACTTTTGTTGGAAAACGCTTTAGAGCCCTCCCTAACATCATCCTAAACCTTCCCCCAACCTCAAAAATCATTTTCCAAGTCCCAGACTCAATTTGACACCCTCAGACTCAAGTGACCCCTTCAAAAATATTTTTATTGAATTCCCCGAGGTCGATTACCTATAACCACCAGAGCTTATCCCCCAATTCCCAGCCGTTTTCTCTGTGACTCAAAAAAGTTTATTAGAGTACGGGACGGGACGTTTCAGTCTTACCAGCATATCGTACCTTCAAGTCGGTATTTCGGGGCCGGGTTTTTTTCTATCGATATCTTCACCCGACGGGTCAGTGCCCTACCAGCAGAAGTTTTCCGCTATCTCCCTCCGTTCGCGAGATATTTCGAGAAAACCGGTTTTTAAAATTTTTATGGGGGGTTTCAGTCTTACCGACATATCGTACCTTTAAGTCGGTATTTTCGGGCCGGGTTTTTTTTATTCGATATCTACAGCCGACGAGTCACCGCCCTACAAGCAGAAGTTTTCCGCTATCTCCCTTCGTTCTCGAGATATGTCGAAAAAACGAATTTTCGACTTTTTTCTTTTCGACTTTTCGACCCCTTCCGGGCCGAATTTCAAAAAACTAAGATTTTTTGGTGCTTGTAACTCATATGCGCTCTATCGATTGAGACCACTTCCAGACCTCTACGACTTCCCAGAAGTCTCATCTTGATTTCGTATTTTCCCCGAAAAAATTTCGACCTCCCATTTCGACCTCAATTTTCGACCAAGTCGAAAAATTTTTTTTTCATTCATGTTCACTCCCAAAGACCTCCAACTTTGCTGTTGACACCTAACCGCTACAACCCCTCCTTCAGGTCGAAACTCGAAAAGCGAAAAATGACACGTTTCGCCAATTTCGACTTTTCGACCCCTTTCGACCCGAATTGGGAATTCTCTATAATTTTCCTGAATGCGCCTCTAAATAAGCTACAAAATAAAAGAAACCCGGATTTGATCCGACTTCCCGAAAAACAGTTGGCAGTTTTTGAATGTCAACCCCCCCATTTTTTTTAATGGGCATGACACGTTTCGCCAATCGAAATGACACGTTTCGCCAATTTCGACTTTTCGACCCCTTTCGACCGGAATTGGGAATTCTCTATAATTTTCCTGAATGCCCCTTAAACTAAGCTACAAAACAAAAGAAACCCGGATTTGATCCGACTTCCCGAAAAACAGTTGGCAGTTTTTGAATGTGGACCCCCCCATTTTTTTTTCCCACACCTAGTTATGGGTGTGGGAAAATTGCAAATTAAAATTAGCGGATTATTTCCGGACGCTGTTGATTGCTGGAAACAACCCGAACGCTTCGGATATTGCAGAAATGGAGAGAATTCTAGAAGGATGGAAAAGGTCTATTTAATAACACTCTTTAGTTTAATAAGTAGTGTTGTTCCTGATAACAATGAGTGTGGCATGGTACCCCGAATGTTCAGCCTGAGAATCGAGGGTGGGTGGTTGGAGATGGCGTTTGGGGAATTTTCGTTTGGGGAGTTTGGGGAGGGTTCGTTTGGTGAGGTTTCGAAAGTGTGAGTTTTTTATTGCACTCAATCTTCAATTTATTTTTGAGATATCAAACTCAATTCTAACAGGCTAATCTTTAATCATGACCAGAGCGAGTTTTTTTAGGTTCAAAAAACCTGATAATAGGTACCTAAAAGGTTCGAAAAAAAGGCTTAAATAGTTGAAAAAAATGCAAAAAGTGGCAAAATAGGTACGAATTTTTAACAAATAGGTTTGTATTGTTAGAGTTTTTTCGATTTTGTGTTTTCAATTTATGGTATTTCAATTTTCACGGCCCGTAATTCGGCCCTATCAAGTCAGATTGCACTGATTTTGGTGTCAATCAACTCAGATTGAGTAGCTCTTTCAAATGAGCTATCATTCAAAAAATCGAATTTTTCACCTCAATTTTTCACCTCACGAATTTTTCACCTTCCTCAACTTCTATATTTAAATCTTTTCCCCGTATGGTTGTTCGATATTTGGGTCCATGTAACTCGGCCCTATGAAGTCAGATCGCTTTGATTTTGGTGTTATTCGACTCAGCTCGGCGAGCTCTTTCGAACTAGTCACGCCTTTGAGAGCTATTTTGAATAACATAAATAACGGTATAAATCGGAGTCTTTGTCCTCAAAGCAATTTTTACCGATAATTGGTTAAAAAAATAATTAAATATCAAAATTAAAATTTTTTTTATAAAAAAACCCAAAAATTTAGTGAAAAAATGACTTAAATCTCAAATATTTGCGAAAATAAAGGCAATTTTTAAGATTTTTATCAAAAAACCTAAAATAGGTCCAAAAAAGGTCAAAATAGGTTGCAAATAGGTTTTAGGTCCGAAAAGGCCGAAATAGGTTTTTTAGGTTCGAATAGGTCCAATATAGACTCATTATTTCGACCCAAAACAGTGTTTTTCGTGCATATCTCATCAAAACTAGTTCGCAAAAAAATAGAGAAAAACCTAAAAAAACTCGCTCTGATCATGACCATCAAATGGAAGGCATTAATAAAAGAAATATTTATTGCAATGTCACCAAGTATGGGTACATCCCGAGTAACGGCGCAAAGCCATAACTTGCTTCAAGCTTTCCGGATCTATCAAATTTAGTATTAAACGATTCCTCTCATCGAGCTAAAAAGATTGGAACCAAAATTGATAAGGGCCAGAAATTTTCCAGCAAGTTATGGATTTGCACCGTTATGGCCGCGTGCCTACTTGCGTGTCCCACCAAATATAAAATAATTTAAAAATCTAATGCACATATTAAAGAAACTTGTGTTACGCAGAATAGGGCGAGGGGTGTTATATCCATAAAGTACCGTTTTATTTTATCTTTAATTCAAATTTTATTTTTTTTTAAATATAATTTTTAAACTTTACTACTATTTTCTTCTCAATTTATAACCTCTTTTTTTTATTATTTAGTCTTGCTTTTTAAGATTTTTAAAAAGGTTTATTCTTCTTTAAATTCAAAAAGGATACATTATAATAAAATAAATTCCTAAAATTGAGTTTGTACAAAAATAGAAAAAATGATTTTTTTCTTAAAAATTTAAATAAATATTTCTTTCAAATATTTCTTTGTGTTTTTAACTTTTAAATGATTTTTTTACATTTTTTTAAAATTTTCCCAATTAATTAAAAATCTATTTAAATTTAAAATAATTTTAATTAATTAACACATTCTTTGTTCTTTTAAAGGAACGAAAATTTCAATTCTTTTCTTTCATTAAAAATAAAAAAATTTTATTTTAAACCACCATATGTTTCTTTTTAATTTATATCAACCAATTGTTTCTTTAAAAATTCTTTTACTTGAAACCAAAAAATATTTTTTATTTATTGTTAAAATAAAGTGTTATTTATTTCTGTGTTTTAACTTAAAAAAAATATATTTTTAATTTTTTCCTTTTTAATAAAATTTGGTAAAATAATTTTATTTAATTATTTAATTATGTATAAATTTAAATATAAAATATTTTTGAGTTTTGTCTTCTAATTTTTCAAAAATTCTAGAGGCCACAGTTTTGTCAGGCGGTCCCTAAAAGTTAAACATTGTCTCAGATACTTTATAAGGCGCATATAAAGTTCTGTGGGGGCTGCCTCGGGAACTTGGTTTTTACTAAAAATTCTATATCACAAGCTTAAAATATTTATTTTAAAATTTAAAAATTTTTGATTGAAATTCTAGAAAATAAAAAAAGCATCAAAGAAGAAAGCTTGACACTTTCAGAATTATTATTTATATTTTTTTAAATTTATTTATAAAAAATATTATTTTTTCTCTATTTTTTGTTGTCAATATTCAACAAAAACTTTATATTTATTTAATCTTTCCTCCTTTCTTTTTAATATTTTCATGCCAATTCCAATTAAATTTTAATATTTATCTATTTTCTCCTTTTTTGGCCAAGAATCACACACACACACAAACATTTTTATTTTTAAAAGCTTTGCTTGTCTCTCAAGTTTTTATAATTAATGCTTCTTCTTTTTCCACAAATCTTAAAAAATAAAAATGTTCTTCTCTTTTTTTGTTAATTAATTAAATTTGAGATTTTTTGTTGTCAATTTGAATTTTTGTTTTGTTTAAAATATTAAATGACAGAAACAAAAAATATTTTTTTATTTACATATTTTTTGTGAAAATAATTTTAAATTAATTTTTAAAAATTTTTAGTTTAATTTTTAATATTTTTAAAAAATGGGAAATACTCATCCAAATGGTGGAGGGAATTATTCTAGCCCAGCAATAAATACAAGCGCATCGAATGTAAATTAATAAATTTGTTTAAATTTAAAATATTAGAAAAAATTTATAACAGTTTTTTTTATTAATTAGCCTCCTTAGGCTTTATTAATTAGCCTCCCACTCTCTATTAGTTACCCCCTCGAGTGTGAAGTTGAAAAAAATACCACCCTCTTTCAAATGCCCTACAAATTCAAAACTCGAATAATCACTCTCTCTCTCCCGCGATTAATACCCTCTCCAGCGAGAGGTTGAGACACCCAGGAAAATTATTCAAGGAAATACTTCCAGAGTCCAGATTAAGGCATTTTTTAGAGTTCCTTGATTTTTCCTTGACTCAAGATTAAGAATCTGGTCAAGGTACCCAACCGGAATCAAGGTTTTTGAAAATCTCGCTCTCTAATATTTATTTATTTAGTCAATCCAAAAATCCGGAAAATCTACTCGATTTAAAATGACAGAAATTTTGGGTTTACGACGTCAATCGACAGGGAATGAAGTAATTAATTCAATTAAAATAAAGGTATTGAATAAATAAATTTTCGAAATAAATTTATTAAAAGAATAATAATTATCGTTCATTCACTCAAAGTGCCCATCAATCTATAGAAATTTGTGAACAAGTAAACATTTTTTTAATATTTTTTTGAACAAATGTTTCGTTTTTTTAAAGTTCAATTCCTTCAAAGAAGAAAATAAAATAATTAAAAATAATAAAAATACTTCCTCACTTCCACAAATTGAAATAAATGGAGTTAATCAGGAAAAGGAAATTAATGAGGAAAAAAAAGTAAAAAAATATTTTTTTGAAAAATTAAAAAAAATTTAAATTAAATTTCAGAACAATTCTGATATTCAACAAAATACAGAAATTAATTTAGAAATTAATTCTTTAAATAATCAAAAAGGAGAAGGGGAATGTTTTGCAGCAATCCCTTTATATTTTAAAGTAAATTTTAATTAAATTAAATAATTAAATAATTATTTTTAGCATAAAGCCCAAAAAGTTGATTCACGCAAAATAGCTGCCAAAAAACGTCTTGAAAGGGGTGAGTTTTAAAAAAATATTATTTATATATTTCTAAAATTAAATTGAAACATTTTAAAGGCCAAACGACTAGCGGTTCTGATAATTCTTCACAAAATGCCAAAAAAGTATGCTATTTATTAAATATATATTTCTCTTTGATTTTTTCCGAAAAATACAAATTAGCTATGGATTAGTGGCACACACACCCTTTCACAATTTCGGGAATCAGGACGGCGCGATCCCTGATACAAACTTTAGTACAACGTACACCCAACCTTTCATAAACCCTTAAGTTAAGGTACCTTTTTAAAATAAGTCAGCCATTGAGTAGACAATACAGATCGAGCTGGACCAAGGCCTGAATTTTTCCTGTACCCAGAGTCCAGGTCCAGGCATTTTTTAACTTTCCTGGGTTTTTCCTGGGCCTGGGTTTTTCTTGAACTACAGGCCCAGGATCCGGCACAGGTCAATAAATCTAACTCCAGAGTATATACCAATTTCTTTATTTAAAATTAATTTTTAAAATTTTTTCCTTAATTAATTAATTAATTAAATTAATTTTTTAGTCATCATTCTCAGAAAGAACACTTGCCAAATCATTAGATAATAAATACACAGTTAATTAATTTAAATAAAATAAAATTTAACTTTTAATTTAATTAAAAAAGGACAATAATTTTTTATTTGATTTGAAACCTTTACAATCAAATATAAAATGTTCTCCCAATCACCATTCACAACAACGTTTGGGAAGTGTTGGAAATGTTTTTGGATTAATTAATTTAAATAATCGTTTATTTTCCTCGAATATTGAAATTAATATTTTAAATTTTGAGGTGAATTAAAGGATTTTTTTAGATTAATTTTTAATTAATTTAAATGTAGCAATCAGAAATAATACAAAAAACTTGGTTATTAGCTAATGAAAAAATTAGACTTTTTGCTGGGCCAGATAGAAGCTTTGCTTTGCTTTACGTTACTACCTTAACAACTACATTAAAAACTAATAAAACCAAAACAACAATACCAGTGCTCATATTTCCGCCAGAACCAAACGAAAAAGAAAAGGATGGAATAATTGATGCGATAATTATGTTTGCTATACTTATGTAAGTTGTGTTTTTTTATGTTTTGTAGGTCTACTGCAAGACTAGTATCAGGACAAAATATCGGACAGACAAAATTTTGTGCAAAAATAGTCATTGAGAAACGATATTTTTAGAGACATGCCGAATAATGTCAAAATCGTCTAATACGATTTCATTTCCATAAGCATAGTCATCCTTGTGATGAACTAGGCCACTGTCGGGGAAGGGAACCAAGAGAAAACACTCAAATCTATCTATGTATATCCACCTTAATCTCTTTAAATTTCCCAATATACTTATTTCAAATCCAATTTTATTCAACATCCTCCTATAAAGCGTATCCCTGGGAGGATTCCCAGGGATATCCTCCAATATCTTTTATTCCTCTGTTATACCTGATATCAGTTTAAATTCCTGATTAAAAATTTTCATTCTTTTTTAGTCTATTAATTTGCTTTGCAATTGGTTATTATTTAATTTACCTCAAGAAAAAAGAAAAACCATTTTTAATTAAAATTTTTTGTATTATTTTTTAACTTTTATTTATCGATATTTAATTTTTAAACTTTAATATTTTCTTCTCAATTTATAACCTTTTTCTTTTTAATATTTAGTCTTCTTTCTTAGAATTTTTTAAAAGGTTTATTTTTTTTTAAATTCAAAAATGATATTTTTTTCAAATGCTTTTTTGTGTTTTAACTTTTAAATATTTTTTTACAATTTTTTTAAATTTTTACAATTAAAATAATTTTAATTAATTAACAAAATTGAAATTTAAAAACAACCAAAAAAATATTTTTTTATTTATTAAATTGTTAAAATGAATTGTTATATATTTTTGTGTTTTAATTTTTATGTAAATTATTATATGTATTTTTAAAATTTTGTTTGTTTAAATTAATTTTTAATAATAAAGGTATACAAACCAGGAATGGGACGGGTTGCCCGAAATCCGGCAGATAAATTTTCGAAAATCCGAAACCCGACTTTATTCTCACCCCGTCCCATCCAGATACGAACATCATCGAATTCATAGGAACGAAGGAAAAATAGTTTCCAGCAATCAACAGCGTAATCGGCAAATTTATAATTTGCAATTTCCCTTCCCTTTTTTGCGAATAATCTGCCCAGCAGTCTAAGTTTAATTTCAGAGGCTCTCTCTCCTTGCAAACATCAGCAACTGTATCCGCAACTTTAGATTTATCTGCACACGGCACACTCACTACAAGTGAATTCCTCTTCATTCTTTTCAATTTTTAAAACAAAATCCTTATCCTCCTTTTGTTTCTTCTCTTGTTTTTCTTCTTCTTCTCTTTGTGTTTTATCAACCATTAAACTATTACTAGTTCCCTCACTAACAATTTCAACTTCCTCAGAATTTTCATTATCACTACTTGTTTCTTCATCTTCTTGTGTTTTATCAACATCCAAACCTTCATCTTCAGCTACAATAACTACTGGATTTATACTTAAATCGCTTTTGAACTAGCAAAGTTCTAGCATAATTTTAGTGTATAAAAACCCATGTTTTTGTGACTTTCTACCCGCAGTTCTCAACAAACAAGTTTTGCCCGCTTAAATCTTTTGCCCGTCTACTGTGTGTTGTTGCCCTATTTTGCAGCATGCAGAAGCAAGGAGGTAACACTTTTTCGTTACACTTCTTACCTCTAAACTTATTGTTTTAATTTAAGATTATGAGAATTAGCTTCTTGTGGTGGAGCCGAGTGTTGATAAATCCAAGGTCGCTGATACGGTATCTGATGTCTGTAAAGAAATGAGGGCATCTGAGCTCAAACTTCGATCCGCTGAACAAATCATCAGAGAGAAGGAGAGGGAAATTGCACGTTATAAATTCGCTGATAGGATCCGTGCGGTGATTGTGAGTGGAGACACCCCAAAAGCTTCGGACATTGCTGAAATGGAGAGAATTTTGGAAGTTTGGAAAAGGTCTGTTTAATAACACTTTAGTTTAAAAATATGTATATTTTGAACTTTTTTAGTTCTCTTGTTCCGACTACGAACGAATATGGCGTTGTACCGGGTGTTCAGCGTGAGAATCGAAGGTAAGAGAATTAACTGTTAATTGTCTAATTAATTTGTTCAAATTTCTTATTTCAGTGATCAGATTTCTGAATATGTTGGCGGCGGTGCAGTGTCTAGTTCCAACACTCCTTTGTAATTGAAATGAAGAGCAAATAATATGTATGAGGCAAATAGATAAATATGTATATAGACCTAAGATATTATGTACTTTTGTATATGAGTTGTAATTGTACATATTTGGTTTTGCTTGTATTGTGTTTTGTTGTATAAAAGAAAAATTTAAAGCATTTCCGAAAAAATAGAAAATTGGGAGGAATCCCATTAAATAGGACTAGAAATGAAAACTTTCCGGAAAATAAATTAAAGGGGAGAGTCAGAAAGCAGAAATACAGACTTTCTGAAAAATCAAATAAATTCGAAAAGAAATTTTGAAAAATTTAGGTATTTAAATTAAAGTTCTGAGAATGGTATTATATAAAAGCTCATTGTTTTTGTTGTTTGTTCATCTAAACAATCAAAACATGTCTTCCTCAAAAACTGTTTCAATGCTTTTTGCTACTTTTGTTTTTGTCATTTATTCTGTCGGATTGTTAAATCTTGTTGAATCTACTACTAGAATAATTGAAGTTGGACGGGGCAAACACAAATTGGAGGGTGATAATGTGATTCTGAGTGATGGTTCGAGGATTGCTGAAGAAGAGGCTTGTATGACTACAACTCTCTATCAAAAAGAGGATCATGTCATTTAGAAATTGACTACGACCATATATAAATTAAATACTTTTCTACACATAACAATTTTTAAAAATATTTTCAGAATTGTGTACTTTCAAAAACGTGGAGGTTGTACTGTGGACTTTGTTGAAGATTCGGATATTTTAAACTTTTTCGATACTTCACTTACTGCTGTATTCACAGTAGTATTGTATAATGGTTGAAATTCGTTATCTGATTGTTTAAAGAATTGTTCTTTTGATTTAGAAGTAATGAAGACTAAAATGTATGTCAATTAATATACATATTCTTATAAAAATATTTTATTTTAGTCTGAGTCTTTCCTTTACCGATAATGATTTGCCGATGGGTGTATATCAAATAGGAAGTTGTATTAGTGGTGATAGATTGTTTGTTGGATCATTTCTAGGTAAATTCTAAAATTGCTTCAAAGTTAATTTATAAATTTAATGCTGTCAGTTGTTCATATTCTTCTATATGTTTCAAAAGAAATATCAGCTCTCTCACAAGTCTATTAAACTCAATTTTTTATGAACATGTTTCCTCGTCTAATTGAAGAAGGAAACTCCACCTATTGTTATTCACCTTTCAAGACATTTAAACATAAAAAAGAATTAATTAAAGTAAAGGCTTGGAAAATTATATGTAAATGTTGGAGATAATAGCGATAAAAGTTTAATTGGCAAACGATTAATTGTTTTACATTTATTGCCCAATTATATGTTCCATTCTTGCACAAGAAATGGGACAATTAATGAAGAAGAGAAGATGGATATCCGAAAATGTTCCTTTGCAATTGAATTTGTAAGTTTAGTTTTTAACTTAATATGGTCAAATCCCACTATAAAATACCCCAATCTCTAAGCGATACCACTCAATTCAGTTTGCATAATAAGGTACAATTTTTAAACTAAGGATGTAATTTTATAGAGATTGACTGCAATTCTTTTTTGAATTTTTATTTTTTAGTCTGTTGAAAAATATAAAATTTTAACAACACAGTATAAACCTCGGAAAAAATTTACAAAAAACAACAACATCAATTAATTATTCTACAACAAAATTACCACCTTCTTTTAACAACAATTCAACAATTACAGAAACAACATCAACAAAAACTTTACACCTTTCCGAAAATTTAGTAACGACTACAAATCAATTAACAACTTCAAATAAAACTAAAGCAACAATACCAGTGCTTATATTTCCAACTGAAGCAAACGAAAGAGAAAAGATGGAATAATTGATGCGATAATTATGTTTGCTATACTTATGTAAGTTGTGTTTATTTTGATGTTTTGTCTCATTCTTTTATGACATTCCCAGTCAGATGTCTAATCATGGCTATTTCGTACCATCCGACTTAGTTTGGGGTAGCTAGTGGAGTCGACATAGCTATTAGTAGATAAGTAGAATAATTCCAAAATTGTCTAGATCCATAACCATAGTTAAGGGTTGTGGTAGATCATGGTGTTCCCTTCTTGTACATATTTAAAATAAAAATAAATTTTCCTATATTTTTAGTCTATTAATTTGTTTTGCAGTTGGTTATTATTTAATTTACCTCAATAAAAAAGACAAACAGAAGACGAATTCAAAAGCGATTTAAGTATAAATCCAGTAGTTATTGTAGCTGAAGATGAAGGTTTGGATGTTGATAAAACACAAGAAGATGAAGAAACAAGTAGTGATAATGAAAATTCTGAGGAAGTTGAAATTGTTAGTGAGGGAACTAGTAATAGTTTAATGGTTGATAAAACACAAAGAGAAGAAGAAAAACAAGAGAAGAAACAAAAGGAGGATAAGGATTTTGTTTTAAAAATTGAAAAGATGAAGAGGATGGAAATATTGTTAAAGTATATGTACATTATTGTTGGTATTATATTATTAAAATGTTTCTGTATGTATATAATGTTTTTATAAATATATATTACTTTTATTTTTTAATATTTTATTTTTTTATCTACTTAGGTTGTGTCATAAATAATTAGCCCCCCTTGAGCAAAGTTAAATAAATATTTATTAAAATTAAACTAGATCTTTTCAGACTTCGAATTATATTTTTCTATGATCCTAAGAGAGTTGCCTATTTTCTGGCAAAAAATCAGAATCCTAGGATTAGGTTGGCCGGAGTTAGAGGTAAAATACTAAAACGTGTATTTTTGAAACGAGGCAAATTCTTTTTGATTTTTCTTTTCAAAATTGATGAGTAAGAATGAAAATTTAAATAGACTCTGATAGAGCAGAATCTGATGAATACAATGATATAAGAAATTCCCCTGGAAAACAACTGGCTGATTTTTTATAGGGTCGCATTTGTGAAATAGGGGCTAACATTATGCTGCATTAGGATTACCCCTGCGCGAAAATGCCCAGAGAGGCCAGTAGACCGGATTTTTCGATGGACTCGATCTATATGGGAATAATACAATTTGGTTATAAGCCCCCAAAGTTTTAGGGTCCCACACATATAAACAATTTCTTTTTATATATGTCGGCGGCCAAATTACAATTTAGGACAAATTGCATTTGGCCGGCCAAATTACATTCATTTTAAGAAATTTCGATTTTTCTTTGTGTTTTAAATTGGGGATGGGTTCCGAAATAGTTTTTCATGTTCGGGACCTACGCCCACTGGGTCTGGGACCGTTCCTTACCCTATCCTTCGAAATTTCTTAAAGTTATTGCCAATTTTTAAAAATTTCAGAAAAACGATTATAACTTACTGAAATTTCAAGGAATAGGGTACGGACGGTCACAGATCAAGTGGGCGTAGATCTCGAACATGAAGAACTGTTTCGGAACCCAACCTCAACTGTTAAACCTAATAAAAATTGATATTTTAAAAATAAATGTAATTTGGCCGCCTACATATGTATATGTACAAATGTGTTCTTCGGTGGTGCAGTGGTAGCGTTCTTGAATTTACTTTTTTCCCCCAAATTCGAATCCTGATTGGTAAATTAATTTATTTTAACATAATTTTAGTCTTTTATTAAATTTGTGATTTTTATCCGAATGTTTTTGCCAAAAAAATTTTAAAAACTTTTTAATTTCTTAACTATTTATTTCTCCCCTTATTCATTCCCATGGTGTTCCAGAAAAAGCCTTGTGTTATTCCTTCCTTTGTAGTGTTTTCAAAAAATTTCAAAAAATTTTTTTTTGATTTTAAAAACAAAATTTTGAAAACAAAAGCTAATCTAAAATATAAAAAAATTTTAATATCAGATGAATACTTTTTGGGAAAAAATGAGATTTAAAGTTTTGATCGTATACTTTTGCACCAACAAAAATACGGGTAAATTTATTTAAAAACCAGACTGTATATTTTTGAGGATTTGATTTGAAATTATTATAATACATATATTTTAAGGAAAGGTAAGGGGGAAGGAATAATGCATTAATTTGAGGGAGGGGTGCAAGAAAATTAAATTTTTTAATGCGGCCGGGTAAAAAAGAATGGCATGCGATTATTTTAAAATTACATGTAATTATAAAGAAATTGTAAAAGTAAACATGTAGAATAGAAATAATGCTATAGAATAATGGGCTCTATATGAAAGGAATGGGCTCTATATGAAAGGAATGGGACACTCAAAATATCCCCATAATGGTCAATTTTGACTAGATAATTCTCTCTACATTATACTTAGGCCGTAGGGAAAATAAACGCTAAAGGATTAATATACAAAAAATAAATTAAAGGCAATATTTCTCTTTTAATTTTTTTAAAAATGCTGCTGATATTGATTACTAATCTTGCTCTTGCATTTTGGCGAAAAAGTGCTTCCTTCATGTATGAATCAGTCAAATTTGTGCTTATTTTATAAATTCTTTTTGTCATATTTTAAATGTGTCCAAAGACCCTCACATATATTTGTGTTTCATTCATCTCAGTTCCATCATACATTTTTACAATTTTATGAAATCCGCATCCTGTCTGCTTTTTGTGTCGAATTAGCATGTGTCTTAAAAGAAATATGGATAAAATCAACACAAATAACCGTTTTTACTTGTGTTGGGGGAGTTTTCTTTCCATTTGTAAGAAAGCTGGCCGCTCGTCATTAATAATTATTGTCTTGATCCATTTATTGATCAGTTTGAAGTATCTTTTGTTTTCAGTCTTGGACTCGTTCACCGATTGCTTGTCTTCACTCACCTTATTCAATGATACAAATTACCTAAATTTTTGAATGTTTTTGAAACAAAATATAAAACTTACCACATTTTGGTTACTTATTTGAGAAGGCCTATGTTGTGCTTTTGTTTGACCTAACAAGTCTCATCAATCTCAATTATCTTCTGATATCCCCTATATAAACATGTAGAATAGAAATAATGCTATAGAATAATGCATAATTATATTATTTTAGGATTTCGTGTGATTATAAAGAGAGAATTGTGAAAGTAAACATGTAGAATAGAAATAATGCTATAGAATAATGCATAATTATATTATTTTAGGATTTCGTGTGATTATAAAGAGAGAATTGTGAAAGTAAACATGTAGAATAGAAATAATGCTATAGAATAATGCATAATTATATTATTTTAGGATTTCGTGTGATTATAAAGAGAGAATTGTGAAAGTAAACATGTAGAATAGAAATAATGCTATAGAATAATGCATAATTATATTATTTTAGGATTTCGTGTGATTATAAAGAGAGAATTGTGAAAGTAAACATGTAGAATAGAAATAATGCTATAGAATAATGCATAATTATATTATTTTAGGATTTCGTGTGATTATAAAGAGAGAATTGTGAAAGTAAACATGTAGAATAGAAATAATGCTATAGAATAATGCATAATTATATTATTTTAGGATTTCGTGTGATTATAAAGAGAGAATTGTGAAAGTAAACATGTAGAATAGAAATAATGCTATAGAATAATGCATAATTATATTATTTTAGGATTTCGTGTGATTATAAAGAGAGAATTGTGAAAGTAAACATGTAGAATAGAAATAATGCTATAGAATAATGCATAATTATATTATTTTAGGATTTCGTGTGATTATAAAGAGAGAATTGTGAAAGTAAACATGTAGAATAGAAATAATGCTATAGAATAATGCATAATTATATTATTTTAGGATTTCGTGTGATTATAAAGAGAGAATTGTGAAAGTAAACATGTAGAATAGAAATAATGCTATAGAATAATGCATAATTATATTATTTTAGGATTTCGTGTGATTATAAAGAGAGAATTGTGAAAGTAAACATGTAGAATAGAAATAATGATATAGAATAATGCATAATTATATTATTTTAGGATTTCGTGTGATTATAAAGAGAGAATTGTGAAAGTAAACATGTAGAATAGAAATAATGCTATAGAATAATGCATAATTATATTATTTTAGGATTTCGTGTGATTATAAAGAGAGAATTGTGAAAGTAAACATGTAGAATAGAAATAATGCTATAGAATAATGCATAATTATATTATTTTAGGATTTCGTGTGATTATAAAGAGAGAATTGTGAAAGTAAACATGTAGAATAGAAATAATGCTATAGAATAATGCATAATTATATTATTTTAGGATTTCGTGTGATTATAAAGAGAGAATTGTGAAAGTAAACATGTAGAATAGAAATAATGCTATAGAATAATGCATAATTATATTATTTTAGGATTTCGTGTGATTATAAAGAGAGAATTGTGAAAGTAAACATGTAGAATAGAAATAATGCTATAGAATAATGCATAATTATATTATTTTAGGATTTCGTGTGATTATAAAGAGAGAATTGTGAAAGTAAACATGTAGAATAGAAATAATGCTATAGAATAATGCATAATTATATTATTTTAGGATTTCGTGTGATTATAAAGAGAGAATTGTGAAAGTAAACATGTAGAATAGAAATAATGCTATAGAATAATGCATAATTATATTATTTTAGGATTTCGTGTGATTATAAAGAGAGAATTGTGAAAGTAAACATGTAGAATAGAAATAATGCTATAGAATAATGCATAATTATATTATTTTAGGATTTCGTGTGATTATAAAGAGAGAATTGTGAAAGTAAACATGTAGAATAGAAATAATGCTATAGAATAATGCATAATTATATTATTTTAGGATTTCGTGTGATTATAAAGAGAGAATTGTGAAAGTAAACATGTAGAATAGAAATAATGCTATAGAATAATGCATAATTATATTATTTTAGGATTTCGTGTGATTATAAAGAGAGAATTGTGAAAGTAAACATGTAGAATAGAAATAATGCTATAGAATAATGCATAATTATATTATTTTAGGATTTCGTGTGATTATAAAGAGAGAATTGTGAAAGTAAACATGTAGAATAGAAATAATGCTATAGAATAATGCATAATTATATTATTTTAGGATTTCGTGTGATTATAAAGAGAGAATTGTGAAAGTAAACATGTAGAATAGAAATAATGCTATAGAATAATGCATAATTATATTATTTTAGGATTTCGTGTGATTATAAAGAGAGAATTGTGAAAGTAAACATGTAGAATAGAAATAATGCTATAGAATAATGCATAATTATATTATTTTAGGATTTCGTGTGATTATAAAGAGAGAATTGTGAAAGTAAACATGTAGAATAGAAATAATGCTATAGAATAATGCATAATTATATTATTTTAGGATTTCGTGTGATTATAAAGAGAGAATTGTGAAAGTAAACATGTAGAATAGAAATAATGCTATAGAATAATGCATAATTATATTATTTTAGGATTTCGTGTGATTATAAAGAGAGAATTGTGAAAGTAAACATGTAGAATAGAAATAATGCTATAGAATAATGCATAATTATATTATTTTAGGATTTCGTGTGATTATAAAGAGAGAATTGTGAAAGTAAACATGTATATATGTCATTTTCGAAATTAAAATTCTTCCTTCTCTCAGAAAATCTGAATTTTTCATTTATTTTCAAATTTAATAGTCATAAAAATCCCATCATACCTAATTTCTTTATAGGAATAAAGAAAATAAAAATCTGAATAGATAATGCAATATTACCCTCGACTTCGACCAACAATCGCAAAAAAGATTGTCATGCTTTTTATTTAAATATTAATTTAATTCAATTCACAATAAAAGGTACATACATATGTATAACAATCAGTCCCTCTATATTTTATTAATTACATTTTCTTATCTAAACATTTGTAGTTTATTTCCAGATTGTTGATAAAGATGGAATGCAACAAGAAATGAACAAAAAAAGCAAAAAACTGTGTAGAATGTTCAAGCATTTTATTTTAATTTTTAAAGGATTCCCTTCTTCTCTTTTTAAAGTTTATGTATATTAAATATTTATTGAAATAATTAATTAATTATTTTAAAAAATTGAAATGACAATCAAAAGAATTTTTACTAAAAGTGATAGTCAAGAATCTATAGAAAATTCCAAAAATTATATTATTTGTAAGCCTTTAAGTGATGAAAAAGGAGGAGAAATGGTAATTTATTTTTAATTTGCTTGGTAATAGTTTGGAAGTCGCCCCTACCTATTTTCTTTTCTTTTTTTTCCTAGTTTTTCCTCATCTTATGGCAAATTAGATATCATGCAAAAGAGCCCTTCGAGCTGAGTCGAATAAAATTAAAATTAACGAAAACTGACTTTAGTGAACAAAGTTGTAGCCGTTTATTTTATTCCCTTGCATTAGCACAAAAAGTTTACCCATCTATGATTTAGCATAATTATAATAGTAAAGTTTAATGTGGACTCGAACGTTGGGTCTCCGGTTCCCGCAAGCGGGAACCGGAGACGCGTTCGAGCGTCTTTTTTCCTAGATTAAACCTCTACTTTTCTTTTTAACAAATATTTATTCTTTTGGGAGTTTTTGGATTAAAAAATATAAGAATGAATTAAAGAAATCGTGGGTGAGGAAAAAGTGTTTAGTGACAGCTGTTCTTTTTCCTATCACATTCCCCTCCTCCCTACAAGTTCATCCTTGAACTTTTAAAGTTTAAATATGTTTGGATAGCTGTAAGGCGAACTTGGAGGCGGAGGGCCCATCAAAATAACATTAAAATTTTGGCTTAAAATTAATTATATTATTTATTTTTATTTTTAATCAATTTTTTCTTTCTTTTTCATCTTTTATTTATTTTTTCTTTCTTTTGTATTTTTGAGTTAGTAAATTTTTTAGTACACTCCTGATAAGCACCCCTCTATTTGATTTTTGGTAATTCCACGTATTCCATTGCTGTAAACATTGGTAAAATATCTTCTCCCAACTGAATTGTTTTATTTTTAAAATTTAATTTGATTTCCTCCTTCTCTTCCATTAAGTCTGTTCCAATTACTAAACCTCCAGGACATGATTTATCCTCTGATACCAAGAATGGCCATCTCATTGTTGATCCTCCAATTTCAATAGTTACCATTGCAGAACCTAAAAATGTAATTGGTGTTGAATTTGCAGCCCACGCCATTGGTACATCTTTCGAGTTTATTTTTAAACCACATTTTGAAGCAACTGATTCTCCACAATAAGATATATCAGCGCCACAATCAATGAGTGCTTTTTGAATTTTTCCTCCAAATAATACTTCGACATAGCATCTTTTTCTACGTTTTACAGAGCAAATAGAAGGAATATAATCCAGAATGTAAGCCTTTTCTTCCAGATCATTTAAAGTTGGGGCTGAAGGTTTGGGTTTCAGTTCTTCCATTTCTATAGCATTAACTTTAATTTCTTTTCTTTCACTGTTGTCATCTTTTCCTCCAACGAAAAATTTAATAACCGTTCTTCCAATCATTATTCCTTTCCAAATAAGCGAGAATAATGCGCGAAATTTCCAAAATAAATAAGTAATTACTAAGAGAGCTGACAAAATTAGAAACGCCATTAAAATCCAATATAGTCTCTGCATAAATGACCACTTATCCTCAATAAATTCCTTTGCTTCACTTATTATTTCACCTCCTTTTTCTTTTATATCCTTAGCAACCTCTTTCCCTTTCTCAATACCAAACTCTAGATTTTCCTTTAAATTCTCAAAAACTTCGCCAGTAACATTACTTCCTCTTTCTTTTAATATTTTTGGTAAGCCAAATATTTCTGAGAGTACATCCTCAACCTCTGGCTGTTTAATATCTTCCGGCAATGTCATAGATTGGTGAATTAAATCTGAAAATTTTTCTATGTCTTTCACCTCTGCTTTCTCCTCCTCA